CCCCAAAACCCCAAAACCCCAAAACCCCAAAACCCCAAAAGCCAATAATCAAATAGAATAATAAATAATAGTCTGTTAATAATCAATCGAGTCTTTTGAGTGCCGATAAGACAATTCTTCAAGATATCTTTCCTCTTTCTCAGCATCAGTCATCCGGATATTGCCTGACTCTTCGTTGTAGTTTTCTTCGATATAGGACTGTGAAATATTTGCCAGATCGGTCTCTCCATTAAGGTCTGGGATGTAAGGCGGTACGTACCCTTTGATCGCTATTTTTACCCAATCAACCTCTTTGAAGAAAGGATGGTTCATTATTTCGTGAACACCTTTGATTCCAAGTCTTCTCTTTGGATCCCTCCTGAGGAGCTTTGATACGAGGTCCTTGGCATCTTTGGAAAATTTTCGTGACATGAAGATCTTCTTGTTCAATATGTTTTTGTAGATATCCTTACTAAATTAAAATTGATCAAAAAGGACTCACAAATGCAATATTACTACTAAAGAATTATAACTTACTGAGTAAAACAATTCCGGTCTAAAAATGGAGGAGCTCCTGAGATCATCTCGTAAAGTATTACACCGAAGCTCCACCAATCAATCATATGAGTATGTTCGCTCTGTACCAAAATTTCAGGAGCGATGTAATTAGGAGTACCCACAACACTAGTTGTAGGTTCTTTATTAGGCTCTAGAAATTTCGATAGTCCGAAATCTATCAGCTTGATATGCCCTTGACTATCCAACAAGACGTTATTTGGCTTCAAATCCCTATAAATGACCCCTGCTTCATGTAAAGTCTTCAAGGCAATGACCATTTCAGCTGCGTAAAACTTAGTTTTAGTCTCTGAAAATCTGCTTTCCTTAACCATGTGACTATAAAGCTCGCCTCCATTGACAAAGTCAAGTATGAAGTAAATTTTATCAACTGTTTGAAATGCATAATACATCTTCACAATGAAGGGGTTGTTAAATTGCAGGAATATCTTATTTTTCAGTTAGCACCCTGCTCTTCTTCCGCTCGTTAATTAGAGAAATCTTTTTAAGCTCCTTCATAGCGTAATATTGCCCATTGTCCTTATTTCTGCACTAGATGCACTTTGGAGAACGAGCCTTTCCCTACTAGGGCGATAATGTTAAAGTCTATGAGATTTATAGAAGTTGAGAAGAACTCTACATCTCCTGGGTTCTCTGACTGTTGCCTTGCCCATAATAATCTATCAGTTTCAGTATATGAAGAGGACTTTAAGTCCTCCTCAAGTGAGTATTTATCAGAGTCATTTAATCTATTAGTGAAGGGATGGCTATAAGTCATACTTGAACTCCCAAAGTAGCTCTTGAAGGAATATTCTTCTGAATCACCTTGCTCCTCAGTACTGCTAGCTCTAACCGTGCTGGAATCATCTTTCAGTGGTCAACATACACTACCCATTTTTCAATAATGTTTTAAAGGTTGGGGTTTTGGGGTTTTGGGGTTTTGGGGTTTTGGGG